TGATGATGGTGATGATGATGGCGTGATAATGATGAAGGTGGAAGTGGTAATATGTGATTATGATGATGATGATAACGATGGTGAGGATGATTACGATGGTGATTTTAATGATAGCTAGTGATAATGATAGCGATGGTTGATGCATGATATCTTGTTTTCAGTGATGGTAGTGGTCGTACTGGTACATTCTGTGCCATCAGTATAGCATTAGAGAGAGTGAAGCTGGATGGAACCATCGACATGTTCCAGACTGTAAGGAACTTAAGAACCCAGAGACCACTAATGGTCCAAACTCAGGTTAGATTTACGTTTTTATTTGGAGTTTCAACATTAGGAAGACAGATTGGGAGTGGGGTGGTTGAGGAACAGTCTTTGCTTGTCCTACAATCTCTTAGACCGAATACAAACTTCATATCAGCCGAATCTAATGACGGCCTTATCTATTGTTTTCATTGCGTACGGCTCACATGAAGTTTGATCAGAGGCTAACAGAGCTTTAACTTTGCATGTTCCTCATTTATCGAAGTCTTCAGATTTTCTTCCATTTTTCTGTATTTTACACTTCCTTCTCCTACCCCTAATTTCTAGTACCATTTACATGTATCCCATTTTTCATATTTCCTTTTTCTCTTCTCTTTATTCCCATAGGAGCAGTATAACTTTTCCTACCAGGTTGTTCAGCTATTCGTCGACGCCTACAGCGACTATGCCAACTTTAAATAATACAGAATTTTTAGTAACATCCTTATTTGGAACATCCTTATTTGGTAGATTCTTTTCGTGGCAAGTTCCATATTTGGTAAAATCCTCATTTGGTCACTACTGTATTTGGCACCTTCCATATTTGGTCACTACTGTATTTGGCACCTTCCATATTTGGTAACTACTGTAATTGCGGGTTACTTCCATATTTGGTCACTACTGTATTTAGCCGCAACTTCTATATTTGGTAACATCTTCCGTAGTTGGTTTACAACCTTGAGCCAAATAAGCGAGTTGGCCTAAGCACAAAAGAGGGCAAGAAACACGTTGCGTTCAAGTTGTAAATTAATAATCAAGCGTGGACTCGGGAAAGAGAAAAAATATTGTTCCAACAAGGAACCAAACTGTCTCCAGTCAAAGTGTCAATTCGATATAAAAGATTCAGAAATAATTGTGAAAGTCACTTACTTGGAATATTTCCAAGACAAATTGGCATGAGAGTTTTTATTGCTTCCTAGCAGTTGCAAATTACGATAATGTACTGCTGGAGTGACGAGAGATTATCAAGCACTTGAATTCAGTAAATGAACGTTCGACGTTACATTCCTAACTACGGTTTATAACTCCACTTTTAAGTAAAATATTTCTACGACAAACCCTGTACATATCTAAAAATCTCTCATCCCATATGGACTAAAAAGATGGGCAATTATAAGTTATGACATGGACATCGATAGTCGTTGCTTTAGAATACTGTAGATAGGTAGTTTTACTAAGACCTAAATTACAATTTTATAATTTTGTACGATAACKTAATCGCAATATAGAAGGTAAAAACCAAGAGGTCAATATTTGGTCTCAAACGCAAAGCATATTTTACTAGAATTCTCAAAGAACTTCCTCCTTGGAATTTTGACCTCAAATATCACTAGCAACATTTACGTCCATGTTTTCCTTTGAATATTGGGGTAAATGATGACATAACCTTTTAATTTCTACAGTGGGCAATGCTCCATTTTATAGTTTTAGGAATAATAGTTCAAGTTAAGGTTGGAGTTCTCGCACATGATAAACTCTAGTTTTGCAGTTCGCGGCAACTGCACTCAAACCTCAACTTAAAAGTATGAAGTTATTATATAATTACCAATGAAATATCTATTTTTCTCTATTTCGAAAAATTGATATCTTCACACGTGAAAATAACATGTTATTTTCACGTGTGAAGATAACACCATTGCGATGGCTATTCAAAAATACACGGAAAGAATTGCCTGAAAAAGCCAAAACATACTTCA